ATTAGTTATTATAGATGACCGGACCATTCTTCCTTTTCTTCCTGCGCTGTTCTCTCTCACACCCTCTGAAAACTTTTTCTTTTTTCTTTTTTCATCCAAATTCAAGGCTAGATATACTCTTCTCTATTAAGATTTTGACTTTACCATTGAAGGCAAAGTCAACGAGCACGACGAGAGTTTCGATTTGATCAAAGTAACGTCCCGTTTGGAGCACTTTGGGATTTTGAGTTTTGGGCTAGTTTTGAGGCTTTTCTTCTATTTTGAGGTAGGGGTTTTTTAAGCCACATTTATTTGATTTTGGTGAATTATTCCTCTTTAATTTGATAAAAAAAAAAAAAAATTAAAAAAAAAAAAGCATGCTTAATTTGAATATCTTATCTATGGTATTAAGAGTTTATGTGATTATTGAGTTAAAATACATGTCTACTTGAGTTTAGGTGAAGAAGTATGTTGATTTGAGTTATAGCATGCTTTATATGTTCTAATTGTCATAAATGATGAATTTGTTTTATGTGGACTTATTGTATCAATGACCTCAAAGCATGCAAATGTAATTGTAGTTGAATATATGAAATTTTAATATGGTGATGGCATTGAAAGACATGTAACATTCATGCATGGCATTAGGCATGAATGGGGAATTGATCTTGAAAAGAAAAAAAAAAAAATTGATTTGGGGAAAAGTTTTGAAAAATGGTTTACAGAAACCCGAGTGCCTAGGATCTACCTAGTAGTCCGTGGCATTAATGTGATATAGAGGGAATTGTGGAGGGACCCTAGCGTGGTTGAACTACCTAGGCTCCAAATGATGCCCTGGAGTTGCCTTGTGGTCAGGGATAGTTAGCCAACCCTTCTCTCATGGTGCCATAGAGTTGTTATGGGCCGGATTACATTAACAGCTTGGAATGAAAAAACATAAAAGTTTTGTGATGAGTTCAAATTTTATATATTTTTTATCCCCAAATTTATATTAGTTAGTATTTTATTTTTATTTATTTTAACTAATTAGTTGATTATTATATTTATTTGTATTATTTGTAATGTCCATCAAAAAAAAAGAAAAATAGGTAAATTATATAAAAAAAAAATTGGTGGACAATAGGAAGTTGGCTACGTGATATAGAAGAATATATATATATATATATATATATATATATATATATATATATATATATATATGTATTTTCAGTCAACATGTAAACACAAGGAGCAGCTCAACAAAGATAGCTAAGTCCTTTGCCTATTTCTTCAGTGGTCTCAGGTTCAATTCTCCAAGGTGTAGAATTATATGTATATATTTTGGTCAATGTCAACTGCCATGTCATCATTCCACATCAGCGCTTCGTCGTGGGGGTCGTCCTGCCACATCATCATCTGGACTCACCAATGCCATGTCATTAAATAGGCCCACCAGTTGCTAAGAATAGAAATAAATATAAAAGGGAAAAAGAAGAGAGATGAGAAGAAATAAATATAAAAGGAAAGTGAAGAATGATGGAAAGAATGAGCAAAATTAGGAAGAAAAATATAAAGAATATTGCTTCGGGAGGGAAGAACATAGCCAAGGGGCTCCTGCCCTTTAGTGTTTGTTTTTCTATTTTCTTTATTTTATTTTATTTTTATTTGTTTTGCTTTTCTGATTTGGGATTAATGTTAATTACATTCAAGTAATGATTTTCTTATTGTGTTAATTCATATGGCTGATAGTTGCATAATATAGATAGAAAATATATCTTGAGTGAGCTCAAAATTATTCTTATAGTGACAATGAGAATGATGATTGTGCAATTGTTTTCATGGCATATAATTCAAGAGATTTGATACATCATGCCTAGGGAAGACGGACCGTACTATAACCTAAGAGTAATGTAGTTAGGTAGACGGTCCGTGCCAACCGAAGATGGGTTATACTTAGTTTTTTGTTATATATGCATTTATCTTCTTGGCGATATTGTTGTGTGTTTGTAGCCACACAAATCATAATTATACATATATTGAATTTTCCCATTTTAGATTTGATTAATCATTGTTATGAGATTTGTGATGAAGTTGGTTCCATATCTTTCGTCTTTTATTATTTTTGGTTTAAATCCATCTTCAAATCCACCCAATTTTTACTGTGTTAAGATTTAAATTAACTTGGATTCAGATTAGTTGACCAACGCATTCCCTTAGGTTCGACCCAGCTTATTATTGTACACTTTTAATAAAGTGATTGTAGGAAAATAAATTATTTTTGTACGGAGTGTATCCACAACGATAATATCCGAAAATATACGTCCGTCACTTTGTTTGGATTCACGGGGTTATTAAAAGGTGTGTCTTAGGCACCTCCTACTGAGTCGTTGTGCTCACCCCTTATATTACTATTTTCAAGTCACAGGAAGGAAGCGGCGGATGACGCTCCTCCACAAGCTTAAGTGGATTAGTGGAGTATTTTTGTTATCTTTTGTAATTAAATCCCATTTCAATGTTTGTTCCTTGGGCATGTATAAGTGTATTTTGAGGGATGTATGCTATGAATGGAATTCATTTTGTTTTAAGGTTGTACATTTAAGGGCTATGTTGATATATTTGAAATTAATGGGATGAAGATGGGTTATTTTGAATAATTTTATTGATGTCTATGATTATAAGATTTCATGTTGTATTGTTGTGAGTTGGGACATGTTTTCAGTTTACCTTGGCTCACATTTGAGCTTGGTTATGTTCGAGACCTTGGATGCATCATCCTGCTATTCCTATTCAGTTCCAGGGCTATCGGCAGGCTGGCAAAGTGAATCTCAAGGCCAGGCAGAGAGTTGGGTTCTCAGAACCTTCGTTTCAACCGGCTGACTAACTTAGTCAACTGACCAACCTTCCAGTTTTAGCCGGCCGACGTTGTTTTACCCCACCTGTATTTGTAACCTTTCTGGGATGTGTGTGATTTCGAGTACTGTAAACGACTTGTGTATCATGTATTGACGTTAAAAATGACAGTAATGCCCTTAAACGATCTCGGGTTCTGGTAAGGACCCGGTTAGCGATTCGAACCCCCGTGTTCGGGTTGTTACAACACGTCTTTGCAATTGTAGGTAATTTCTTCCCTCTTTAGCTGACTCACCTCCCTATGCAGTTACTTGTACCAAATGGCTTCATTTGATAAAGCAACATGTCGCTTCATGATTGTACCTTATTTGCATATCACCCTTCCAATTGGAAACGTTTATCCTTCCAATTGGAAACGCTCACCTTTCCATTAGGGTCGGCCACGATAACATTTTCAACTGAAAGATAGTTATGGTATAAACAAAATGAATGTTACAAATGTTTATATGTATATAAAGTAACTATTTATTATGATAAAAACTTTAATAATAATAAATTTAAAATTTCATTTTAAAGGATTTCCGTTTTTAAAAGCATAAACAAAATGAATGTTACAAATGTTTATATGTATATGAAGTAACTATTTATTATGATAAAAACTTTAATAATAATAAATTTAAAAAATTTCATTGTATAGGATTTCCGCTTTTAAAAGCATGTCAGAAGTGTTCGAGCTGATATTCGTTGGCATAATTTTTAGGCAGTTGGAAGCCAATTAGAATTTTCAGTTAGTTTTGGCATCACAACTTATATATATGTGTGTGTGTGTGTGTATATATATATAATTTTTTTTTTTTCTCGGTGAAGGAGAGGCACAAATTGACCCATTTTGAGGGGCATAAATAAAAATCTAAAAAAAATAAAATAAAATATTTGGGGACCACCTCAAGAAACTTTTATGGCATGCACCTTCCCACACACTTGGAAGTGTTTGGTTGGAGCGGCCCAGACTCTACAGGTCTATCGAGTCGAGCGTTCCATAGTTCAATGGGGCCATCAATGTATCTATCTAAATTTTTAGAACTGGTGTGGTTGAAATTAGCACCTCTTGAAGCCCCCTCATTCAGTGTATCTACCGAATTGGTCACCACCATGTAGTGACATATTTGTCACATTCATTGAATGATATGATATGGATCTGTTTTTTGAACTCACATTTATCACTCTCGTATGCCGAAAAAAAAAAAAAAAATTGTCAGCCTTCAATTTTAAATTAAGTGTCAAATAAATATATATAAAAAAATTATTTTATATATATAAAAAAAAATATTGTTTTTTCTTTAATCCTTTAATTGAACCATTACATAGTGGCATATTCGAAACATTGTCACAAAACACCAAACAGTCATGAGAATGAAAATAGTTTTAAATTCATTACACTCTGTCCGTTGTAAGAACGATACTCAGAGAAATGTATGGATGTGTAAAATATATTTCTATATTATTGGCAATTTTATTTTATATAAATTTTGTAAAATAAACTAATTTATTTGTTTAAAATCGTTTTGTGATGAATTTTCAAAAATAAGATCTAATCCAAAATTTATGTTTATTGTTGAATTCTCAAAATCATATTAAATACCAACAGTTGTCTCTTTCTCGAAAATATTTGATACTTTAACAAAAAATTCATGTACTTACTTTGCTCTAGGACTTAAAGGTTACAGTTCTCACTAACATTTTGAACCTTCATAACCAAGCCTGGTTCGATTTCGTTGTTCTTGTAAACGTGACTTCGAATTTTTGCACCTCCAAGTATTTAATATAACATTCTTAAGGAAAAAAACAAATAAATAAAAAAATTAAATTAAATTAAATTAAATAATAAGTAAAGTGATGAGAATAAATCCTCTCCCCATTAAAAATGGTTGCAATCAATTCAACTTACATGTGTAGAGAATTTGCGTTCGAGTGTGTCAATGGCCCATGGGAGTATCAATGGACTCTCACAGAAGTCTTCTTTGGCAGCGTATGACTAATGTCAGTTCATTAAATTTTGGATAAGGATCAGTTCAAAAAATAAAGTCTACTAGAAAAATATGGGAGGTATTGTGCGATTAGACTTTGGGATACAGTGTATTGTAGATTTTCTCGTTGCTAAGATTTTATATATATATATATATATATAAATACACTATAACAATTCAGAAAGTATTCACAAATAACAACTTTCACAGAAAGAGAAGCAAATGACCTTTCATAAAATGCTACCACTATTTCTGCTGTTAACAGTAACATTAGCAGCAATTGCAGCAACACCCACATCAGCTCAAGGGTTGCCCGGTTGCCGACACAGCTGTGGCAACCTAACCATTCCATACCCATTCGGCATAGGCAAGGTTTGTTACCTAGATGAGTGGTTCCTCATAACATGTGATGACTACTCAAACAAACCATTCTTAGGAACGAACCACCTTCCCGTCCTTAACATATCACTTAACGGTGAGCTTCAAGTGTTGAGCCCCATAGCCTACGATTGTTACAACAAATCAGTCCGCTCGGGACACAACGACCCTTGGATGAGGCTGTTCAATTACTCCATCTCGTATACTAGAAACAAGTTCATGGCCATAGGTTGCGACACCAATGCATACCTGATGCATTTTGTCGAGAACAAGTATTTAACCGATTGCATGTCCATTTGTGTAACAATGAATGATTCGGAGAATGGGTTGTGCTCTGGCATTGGTTGTTGCCAAACACCGATTCCACAAGGGGTAAGTGATTTTAAGTTGAGTGTGAGAAGCATGTCCAATACGAATGGCCATATGAGGATGTTGGACTTCAATCCTTGTAGCTTTGCCTTTGTTGTTGAAGAAGGCAAGTATAACTTCTCTAAAGTTGATCTTTACAATTTCAGCAATATTGAGGAGTTGCCTCTGGTGCTTGATTGGGCAATTAGGAGCAGGACTTGTGAAGAGGCATGTGGAAACAATAGCAAATGTTACAAATCTGATAATATTTCAGGGTATCGCTGCAATTGCTCTGAAGGTTATCAGGGTAACCCATACCTTCCAAATGGTTGCCAAGGTACATGTAATTAATTTTTGTTGTTCGATTTTATCTTTTCTTTTTCTGTTTCTTGAATAAATTATGAATATTTTGTTTTAATTGTTGGCAGATATCAACGAGTGCTTGAGTCCAGAACTCAATATGTGTACAAATGTTTGTCACAACACAGAAGGGAATTTTACTTGTTCTTGCCCAAAGGGGTATCATGGGGATGGCAAAAGAAATGGCAAGGGATGTGTTGCAAATGAAATATGGCTAAAGGTCACTGTTGGTAAGTACAGAGTAAACTTGGAAGCTTGAATAAATTTTTCCTAATAACCAGTCTGTAGAAAATGTTCTTTAAGCTCCGTTGGATTGCTTGGGGACTTCTTCTAGTTATTTTAGTTGAAATTTTTTCCCCAATAAAAATTATTTAAAACAAAAACCTTTTTTTTTGTGTAATTTTTTTGACACAAAATATTTTGGCGAACGGTTTTAAAAAATAGTTCCTCCACACTACATAGAATGTAACCTAGTTATGCATAGATGGTTTAATTATAGCTAATTCCCTTTTTACTATCATTATCTTATCTGGTTTTGTTAATGTTTAATTTTAGAATAAATTACATTGACCTCCCCAACTAAATGCCCTTCTAGTTTCAAAAATAACACTGAACTTCTCTGTACTTATGGTCTGAGTAACACTAATTTTCCGGTCATAAAATTCGTCACTATTGTGAGCTATTACAGAGCTAATCTCATGTTTGAAATTTACTTAAAACTCAATTTTGTCCTTAATAAGTTTGAAAATGGATTATTGTCCAAATGTTGTAATGGTAAATAATAATAAAAGTATAATGGATATATTTCTCATTCAACACCTTCTAGTCCAAATCAACACTAATCTTATTGTCCAAATGTTGCTATTTTTGAAACAAAGGAGTAACCAATTATTTAAGCATTCAACAAGCCAGGTACCTGCTTTTCGAATCATTTTGACATTTCTTCTGAAATTAATCCCTTTTAACAAAAAAATGACATCTTTAAGGAACTAGGTTATCAAATTAAATATCTGATTAATAATACAAATAATTTGTCTGGTTATCAAATCAGATCATATCTTTGACTTGTTGATGTTTTGACTTGTTCACACTATTTCTCGAAAGCTTTAATTACTTTCTTATCAGATTGATGCAAAATTGTTAATACAATAAATTCGAATTAGTCTCCATTAGATATTGATGGTTTGACTTGTTGACACTATCTCTTGAAAGCTTTAATTACTTTCTTATCAGATTGATGCAAAATTGTTAATACTATAAATTCGAATTAGTATTGTGTTATTGCTTTGGAATATCAAACCGGAGTGGATCACAGAATAGTTATATTATGTCTGATCCAAATTGCCCTTGATCCTGGATCCATTTACAGACCTAATGCAGTTAGAATGCCTGTTGGGTAGAAACTAAATTAAATTTCAATCTGTAGTAAATTTTGCTTTTCAGCTTTAAATTTCAATCCGTATGGAATTGGGAGTCTTGAAATTAGAGAAAATTCTGATTTAATTTTCTGTGCTGATTTTCTTTAATTTCACCAATTTTAAAGCTCCAATTCCATGCCTGCCAAACATATTCCGAGCTTCTTTAGAAATTCAACTTTTTATGATAGTAATTTTTATTATTTTTTAATGTAATTAGTTTAATCAACTATGCACTTGTTTAATCAACTCAATGTGAAAAAGGTAATTTGAAAATATTATAAAAAATAAAATATTTATTTTTGAAATGAGAAATATATTTTGGGATATCCTACAATAGAAAAATGACCAAGAATTTTGAGCGGAAGGGAGTACATTCTTTCTTCTTCTCCCTCTTTTTTTTTTTTTTTAACACAAATTTTCACTTTGGTTTTCCAAACCATCACCTCTCCATGAGAGGTTATACTAACTGAGCTAATGGCCAAGTGACAATTTTGCTTTCCTGTATTTACACTTAATCCAGTTCCATGACAAATTTTATTTCAGTTTTTATTTAGTTCTTAGCATGGCGAACTACAAAGTTTATGCATAAAGTTGGCCAACCATTTCTCTCTGAAAATTGTAGTGATTTCAGGTTATATAGTACATGCAATTGGCAAAATTTTCTGAATTTCTTCTCCAGCATACCAAAAATTTAAGTAAATATAAAAGTTCAAATTGAAAGTTTGTTCTACAATTCGTTTATTTTTTTCTCTGTTACACCAAAAATTTCCTATTCAAAATTAGCCTTCACTTGATCACTGTCTTAATGCAAATGTAGAGTATTTTACATGAGTATCTAATTTCTTCATTGCATCGCAGTCTGTGAATCAATGTCGCTGCAATAATTGAAATGTTGGGCTTTTGCTTGATGAGCTTTCTTTTGAGTTACATTTTATTTCGTTAATTTCATTTTGGTTACATATTTAATTTAATTGTAGGTATTGGCATAGCAATTTTGGTATTAGTTGTGGCATGTTCTTGGTTATATTGGGGAATCAAGAAAAGAAATCTGGTCCAACTTAAAGAAAAGTTTTTTCGGAAAAATGGTGGTTTGATACTACAAGAACAGCTCTCAAGGATGGATAGCTCAGTTGAGGCAGCCAAAATCTTTACCATAGAACAGCTCAAGAAGGCAACCAATGACTTCGATAGAAGCATGATCATAGGCCGAGGAGGATTCGGTATAGTTTACAAAGGAGTTCTACCCAAAAACAAAGTTGTTGCTATCAAGAAGTCCTTAGGAATTGATCAAAGCCAACTTGATCAATTTGTTAATGAGGTGATTGTGCTATCTCAAATCAACCACAGAAATGTGGTAAAAATATTGGGTTGTTGTTTAGAGACTGAAGTGCCTTTGCTGGTTTATGAATTTATCACCAATGGAACTTTGTATCAGCATCTACATGAAGTAAGCCGTATATCCTCGATTCCATGGGAAATTCGTCTAAGGGTAGCCAAAGAAACTGCAGAAGCGCTTTCTTATTTGCACTCTGCAACTTCTATACCAATTATTCATAGAGACATAAAGTCTACCAACATACTCTTGGACAATAATTTCACTGCAAAAGTCTCTGACTTTGGAGCTTCGAGACTAATTCCATTGGATAAAACGCAGTTGACAACAATGGTTCAGGGAACACTTGGATACTTAGACCCTGAATATTTTTATTCAAGTCAATTGTCCGAGAAAAGTGACGTGTATAGCTTCGGAGTCGTCCTTGTGGAGCTACTTACCGGCAAAAAGGCTATTTCTTTTGAAAGGCCAGAGAATGAGAGAAACTTAGCCACGTGTTTCATCTGTTCAGTTAAAGAGAATCGCTTGTTCCTTATTCTAGATGATCGAATCATGAATGAAGGCAACGTAAATCAGATACGTGAAGTTGCTAACCTTGCACAATGTTGCCTAAGATATAAGGGGGATGAACGGCCTTCAATGAGGGAAGTGGCAATGGAGCTCGAGGGACTAACAAGAGTGGAGAAGCACCTTTGGGCTGGAGGCGAAGCGGATTTGGAGAATGAGCTCCTGTTAGGTAATACAATGGAGTTTTGTAGCGGTAACACCACAGCTGGATTTAGTAGTCTAGAGAACCAATCCGCGGTTAGCGGTAGATGATGGATGTTGAGTGTCATGGTCATTTTATGTTTAAGTCGGTGTGTGATTTAGGCTATAGTTTGCTTGTTTGTTTTGTCTTGAGGCTCTTATTTAGGCCTCTGATGGTGGCCGTTTAGTGTCAATTTATATGTTTGAATCCGTGTATAATATTAATATCAATAAGACTATTAATCTTTGTAATACGAGGAGCAACCAAAACACTTCAGTCTAAGTGTTGGGCTTTTAAACCATTTTCTCTCTGTTTTAGGCACTTGGGCTCTATTTGTTTGTATGTAAAATATTTTTCAAAAATAGTTTTTTTATTTTTTATTGTTTAGTTGTCGTAAATATTTTACGAAAAAAAAATATATTAAACTTTAACAAAAATAATTTATTCATAAATTTTCAACAAGTTATTTTACATACCCTGCTCAGTGGATTCGATCTCAACCTCGAAGTAGACCTTTATTAAATACCGACAAAGTAAAAATAAAAAAAATATTTTAGGTTAAAAATAAAAATATTTTTTCAAAAAAAATATTTTACATCGAAACATACGAGCCCTAGTTTCCTTTTTGTTGCTGTTATTACAGCTTGTGGGCTCTGGGTTTTCTTCTAATATACCTTTGTGTACAGTTTGATTCTTCATTAAATTTTAATTACCAAAGTATAAGAATTAGCTATCAGTATTCTTTTTCTTTTTTTGTTTTTGTTTTTGGGATACAAAATGCTTTCTAATATATATACTTCTCTGATTTAAATTTGCAACCTCACATATCCTTGAACCATTTCAAAACAATAAAAATTACATACGGTACTATACCAAATTTTAAGTTGTCAGGCCCTCTTATCATGATTTGAGAGTTTTTACAAACTTTATTTCAGCAATCTTTTTCTAAGAAGATTCTAAGGATTTTCTTCTGTTCATTAAATTGATAGAATTGTAAGCAGAATGAATCTTCTCTGAAGTTATTACACGACTTTGTGAATCAAACATTTACTTTGTCTGGCGACTCACGTCCAGGGTCCACCCGACACTTCTTATTATTATTATTTTTTTCTATTTTTTATTTTTCTCCGTGAACTTCATTAAAAACAAAACAAGATTACAAAAACGAGGGCATATATCATGAAAATATTACTTGTGATTGTTTTGCTTCTACCAACTGTCGTAGTGGAGAATGTTCACGAAAAAAAACTACAAATTATGTTGAATTCGAGCCCGGGGCGGAGTCAGGAATTTGTTTCGGGAGCCACGTTAACACTTTAGCAAAATATTTTTTTTCACGCATAAATGAATAAGAAGCCAATAAACCAATAAAAAATGAATAAGAAGAGAAAAAAGAAAAAGAAAAAGAAAAGGTACTGCACATAAATTATATATGAGTGCAAAAAAAAAAAAAGAAAGTTTTAGGAAGAAAAATGAATTTTTTAAGAAGAAAATTAAATAAAAAGAAAAAAAATATATGAGAGAATTTTGAAGGAAAAAATAGGTTTTAATTGTAGAAAGAGAATGCAAAAGTTTTTGAAGATGACAAAAAAAAATTTGAATAATAAAAAGGAAAAATAATAAAGAATTAAATATGTTTTTAGAAATAGATAATTTTATAGGTATAATTTATAAATTTTATGGGGGTGTTTTATAAATATTTACAAATTATACGCATAAAATAAAATATAATAAATTCAGGGGCAGAGGGCCCATTTTATTAATTTTAGGAGAGGCATTTTATCAAATTTTAATAATTTATGTATAAAAAAAAAATGATAGTGGAGCAGCATGGGCAGGGGCAGCTGCCCCCTGGGCACATGCTGCCTCCGCCTTTGATTCAAGTGAATGAATCATTTTGCTCTCTGCAGTGCATGTATATATATTGAAGATTTAATGGAGAAATGAATTAAGATTTATGTTAGTAGAGGAATCCATGAAGAAAAATACTTATTGTTTTCTATTTTCTGTCTCTTCCATTATTATTGTTTCTTTTCTATTGTATTGGGTATGAAAAAAGAGATTAAATGAAAAATATGTAATTCTTTGAGTTCTTTGTACCGTGAATGTAATCCCTTGTGACTGAACCATGTAATAGTTGTATATATTACTCATTTAATTTCACTTTCACATATATTTTATGCTTTACAACATAGTATTAGTGTCTAATTTCTCTTCCTAGATTCGGACCCCTATTTTGGAGTATTTCCTTAATATTTGAAATGTTGTTAAGGGTTTCTCGATACTATTTGTGACTTGTTTGAACTGCCGATGTGTTCGGTAGCATTATTCTTTGCCTTTGTGGTGTCTTCGGCAATTTTAGTTGTCTTGTTTGGGTTGCCGATGTTTGGTAGCATTGTCATTCGTTTTTTTCTTATCTCTTTATCATTGGCACTTGCTACTACTCGCCATCTCAATGGCTAGTTGGATATTCATACTCCAACTTTAGAGTATTGAAAATTTAATAGAGAAATCAGTGAAGATTTACTATTATTAGAGTAATTAATGGAGAAAATCCTTATTGTTTCATACTATTTTTTATCTATTTTCATTCTTATTGTTTCTTCTCCATTGTATTGAGTATGAAAGAGAGATTATATGTAACTCTTCGGGTTCTTTGTGTGGTGGATGTATGTCCAACTGACTGAATCACGCAATATTTATATGTTTTACTTGTTTAATTTTTCTTTCCACATGCATTTTATGCTTTATAACAAAATATAACATAGAAAATATAACAATATAAGGAAATCTAGTCCATTTAAACTACTAACCAAAATTTGAAAATATTCAACACTAATAATTATTCCTTCTGTCCTTATAGTAAGTGTCATGTATTAAGAATCGTGACTCACAACTTCACAATTTTCAATACATGACATTTAGAGACGAAAGGAGTACTACATATATTGTGAGAAAAAGTCTCGAGTCTTGATCTTGGCCGTTTTCAATAAGGAATGGTTCCTTTCTGGGCTCGCTGAAACTATCCTTACAAATATGTCACCTTGCTTGGCTTCGAACCATGCATGTCAGTAATATTGTGACAACTATTTTACCAAAATGACGTCTTCCACACAATATTTTTGCTTTCAGGAAACTCCAAACATACAACTTAAATACTCTGGATAAGCTTGTACTTTCCAATTTGAGTCAAAGAAATGTAGTAGCATCAATGGTTGTGACAGATGGATGATGGTATTCAATGTGAGAACTCGAGCACTGTAGCAATGGGATGTGATTGAACAGCCTTCATTTCTGGACTAGTCTTAGTTCCAAGTCCTGGAATCTTTGTTTTATAAGGTGAAATTTTTATTACAATTAATATCTATATATATATATATATATATATATACATATATATATATTACGTAGGCAAAAATATTTTACTCTTTATTATATTCATACAAAAATATATCTATCTAAATTTTAAAAAAATAAATAAATAAATAACTAAAGAAAATAGAGGAAAAAAAAAACCTAGTTATTTAAAAAACAAATTTATCAAACTTTCTGAACAAATACAAATAAGATTTATGCCAAAATTATAAAAAAAATTCAATTAAATAACTCTCTTTATTTACCGAAAAGAAAAAAAGCAAAAAAAATAAATTTTTTTTTAAAGTAAAAAATTGAAAATTTGACAAAACAATAACAATGATAATAAATAAATATAAAAACACACAAAAAAATTAATAAAATAAGAATTTAGATTCTTAAATCATTGATTTTTGTTGATATTCAAAACTTTAAATGAAATTTTTGTTATATGTAAAAATTAATTTCTTATAGAATTCCTATAAAAGCATTCCAATAAAAATAAATAAAAAGAAAAAAAAAAAGTGATAGAAAGAATCATGTATAAGATAGAATTTTAGGCTAATAAGGTTATGGAAAAAATCGTGCTTAAGTTGGAAAGATTTTAAGATAGTCACATTATGGAAAGAACGGTGTTTGAGTTAAAATTTTAAAATAGTCACATTATGGAAAGAACGGTGTTTGAGTTAAAATTTTAAAATAGTCACATTAAATTTTTATCGGGTTCTACAATAGTCAATTAAATCACTTTCTTTTAGATTATATATAAACTATTTTTTGTTAAATGGTAATTAAAAAGAATTTTTTTTTTCTTAGGGGGGGGGGGGAGGGGCAGAACAGATTTTATACCATATATAATATACTATTTTATTTTTACCTATACTAAAAAAACAATTCCAAAAAATTAGGGGGGCCATGCCCGCCAGCCCCCACTTCCCTTATTTGTGCGTGTGTGTGTGTAATGTTTATATGTGCTTTTTAGGGAATAACGGCGGCATTGGCAGGGGTTTGAAAGGTAAGTTTTTGAAATCTCGTTTTTCAACCGCACTCCTGACTTAAATGGTGTGTGTTGTGGAACAGATATAAGTGCACTAAGAAAATAATAATAATAATAATAATATTTACTGTATATGTTAAATAGTCTACACTGTACACCATGAGCCACATTTTAGTGGGCTCTCAAGGCCAACACTCCGCAGGTCTTTGTAGTCAACCCTTCCCAATGCTAGTCTATTAATGTAACATCTCTATATATATCTATTAATGGAACTGGTGTGGTTGGAACTTGTACTCCTTGAAGACCGGCACGGATTCAGTCCATTTGACTGTGTCCAAATGGTCCAGTTGGAGTTTGCATGGTGTAACAAGGGTCATTTTGTCCCATATCGGAATCGGATGGGAAAGAGATTGGGTATAAATGGGTGGGTATACAGTCTTACCTAACAGTTCGAGCTTTTGGGTAAATGGGCAAGCGCCGATCCGTTACAGTTGGTATCAGAGTCAGACCCAGTCCTTGATCCGGTGCCATGCCAAGCGCCCGGCCCGGAAGGCGTCCAGGTGAGTCATCCCGAGTAGGCAGGGTGGCCCAACCGCAACGAGGGCATTGCGAGTTTGGGTGGGAGAGAATGTAACAAGGGTCATTTTGTCCCACATCGGAATCGGATGGGAAAGAGATTGGGTATAAATGGGTGGGTATGCAGCCTTATCTAACAGTTCGAGCTTTTGGATAAATGGGCAAGCGCCGATCCGTTACACATGGCCACCATTATGCCACGTTTCAAGGCTTAATTATGAATTAAATTTGAATGTATTTGTTAGTCCATTTCTAGAGCGCCAAACAATAAGTACTATGGAACTGGTGTGATTGGAATTATCTGTATTCCTTGAAGAACCCTGTTTCGTTCGCCTACCGAGTCCTCCAATGATTGTGATATTGTATAC